GAGAGAGAGAGAGAGAGAGAGAGAGAGAGAGAGAGAGAGAGAGAGAGAGAGAGAGAGAACGGCGACAGGTAAGTCTCGAAGGTGGCGACTGGCTTCGCTCAACTTCCATCGTAAGGATGAGCAAAATCGGTCGAATCTTCCGCTAGGACGTCGAAAGATTCACTACAATCACTACTACACGTGTGCGTGTGTGTGTAGCGGACCCACTAGGTGTGGTGCTCCACTAGTGGTAGAGATGGAGATGGAGGAAGAAAGGGGGGAGCGAGGTGGCACAACGCAGCTCCCCACGCAAGACTCCAACGCACGTACTCCAAAATGTGCAAGTGAAGAATGAGACTGAAAACAGACAATGGCTTGGGTATACCCCAACGGACTGATGGGACTGGACTGGACTGGCTGGTACCGACAGAGGTACCGGCCTGGACTGGCCTACCCCGAATACAACACAGGCCTGTGAGAACAGGCCAAGGGGCTGGTCTCACAGGCCAACCCGAGGTCTGCTACACGATCCTYGGCSTGTGATGGATCGCCTAGATACAAACATGCTTCCGCCAAGAAGCGGAACTCTACCAAAGAAAAGAAAACCTGAGTAGTCTAGGATGCGGAGCAAGCTCCATGTTGAGTCCACGCGATGCAACCTAGGATATAAAATGTCACAAAACAACAATGTCACAGCTAACAGCCTAAGTGAAAGCAGAAACAACTAACTAACATACATGTTATAGGAAAGCAAAAACAACTAACTAGCATACATGTCCTAGGAAAGCATAAAGTAGTGACACTAGATCCTAGAATGTTGGAGGCATTAGCCTCAGTCTGGTAACAACTGACTAGTGTATAAGTCCTAAGAACAACAAAAACAGAACAGCTAAATCCTAGAAATGTCGGAGGCAGTAGCCTCAGTCTGAGAGCGACAAAGCAATCAACAAGACAACCATATGTCACATGAGAAGTGTGTCGTAAAACAAAGGGTGGGATAGTCTCTGAGGGTGGCGAATGCAGCCTAGGGGTCGAAAACTCCTGAGGGCATCCACACATAGTGACAGGGGAAAGCACATGTCATCAGGCTCAATGAGGGTAGGGAACTGGGAGCGAACAGAACCAATGACTCTAACAGATAGACCATCAGGGCGGGTAATGCTCGACTAAGGGGTRACCGCTATGGAGGGTCGACCATGCAAGGGAACAAGGGAGCCTGGTATACTGGGCGCACCTAGATGAAGCATGCGGGGCTGCCTAACTAGGGCGTGAGGGCCGCCGAAGGGTAGAAAGATGATGGGTAAGGGAATCATGCCAATGACTCCTAAAGTGAGGGAAGTCGGAGCTAGATCTGTAAGATGGGAAGCTAGGGCAACGCTACGGTCCCAATGCCTATGCGTATACCAAGGGAGAGCCCAACTCAGAGGAACCCGACTAAGGGGAGACCATCATGCGACACAAGCAGGGTACTGTACAGGGTAGAATGGTAAGAGAGTGGCGACGTCTGAAGTAGGCAGAGCTGATCGTGACGAAGTCCATGAAGCTGCCGATGACGGCCACGATGAGAAGTCCGGAATGCCGTCGAGGAAGAGCCGCAACGTCGACAAGCCGAAGTAGCAAAACTGGAGTGGATGAAGTACTGAGAAGTGAAAGACATGGGAAGTTAAGTCAGAGTCAATCGTCGTATCGAGCAGGACGACGACGAGTGCGTTGTGGACGCTCAGAAGCATCCAGCTGCTGCTGAAGGTCTGCCTCAGATGGAGCAGGCTCGACCTCAGCGGTCTCCTCAGCCGGGGGAGAAGGAGGAGGGTTAGTGGGCTGAGGAGGAGCAGTGAACCCAGCACAACGAGCACGGTCATAAGCACGCACCAACATGCGAGCGTGCTGTAAGTGCTCGAGGGACTCCCAGGTAGCCTCCTCATCAGGGTAACCCTTCCAACGTACGAGATACTCGACGTGGGGAGGGTTGTCGTCGGTGACTCGGCGACCAATGATATCTGAAACGAGGAATTCCTCATGACCGTCCACCATGATGGGTGGAGGGGGCTCGTATGGTCGTCCAGCGAAACGCTCAGACGGTCTGCGGTAAGGACGCAGTAACGAGACGTGGTAGAGATCGTGCACACGAGCCTGGCGTAGGTAGTCGGGCAGCTTCACACGGAAGCTGACCGGGCTAGATGCCGTATCAGAACCGACGGCCTGGAGGATGCGGCATGGGCCAAAGAAGCGACGCCGAAACTTGCGAAGCGTGTCCGCTTCGAGCTGTAAGTGGCGGGCGTCGATAAGCACATCATCACCGACTTTGAATGGATGATCCATCCTCGATCAGTTCGCACGTGCTGCCATGCGAGTCTGGGAAGCGGCTATGTGCTCATGTGCGGTCTTCATGATCGACGTCATGTGTGCAACCCAATCGTCCAGCGCGGGACAACTCGTGTCGGGGTGCAGCTCGGACGGTCGAAGGAAGTCCGCGGGAACACGAGGGTGATTGCCGAGGTCGTAATAGTAAGGCGACATCCCCGTGGCTGGCGAGACGGCGTGGTTGTAGGCTATCTCCGCGTGGGCAAGATGGAGATCCCACTGCTGGTCGTCACGAACAATCTTTCAGAGAATATCTCCGAGAGTCCTGTTCGTGATCTCGGTCTGACCATCAGTCTGAGGATGGTAAGACGAGGAGAAGCGGAGCTGAGTGTCGTACACCTCGTGGAGCCGTCGCCAGAATCGGCTGGTAAAGCGCGGGTCACGGTCAGATATGATGCTCAGAGGTAAGCCGTGGTCACGCACGACTCAGTCAAACACGATGTCGGCGACCTGACGTGCACTGATGGCATAGCGGCACGGAACAAAGCGTGCACGCTTCATGAAGCGGTCGACGACGACCAGGATAGCATCATGACCGCGAGGGGTCGGAGGACGAAGGGGACCGATAAAGTCCATCGAGATGTACTGCCAACGACCCCTAGGAATAGGAAGAGGCGGGAGCAAACCATAAGGTAGGTGGTTCGCACTGTTCACCTCCTGACAGGTGGGACACTCTGCGACGTAGTCCTTCACAAAGTCCTTGCGCTTCGGCCAGACGTACAGGCGGCTCACACGAGCCGACGTCTTGTGGAAGCCCATATGACCGGCGGCTGCCTAGTCATGGAACTCTGCTAGTGCTCGGACACGTAGCTGTCCAGTGGAGGGAACGTAAATACGGGGCTCTCTGGTGCCCTGTGAACCGTGCCAGTACACAAGACCGTTGTCCCCGAGAGAGTAGTTCGGGACGGTCTTGCCGCTCCGAAGGGTCGCGTGGATGTCGCGATAGTCGGGGCAGTGGCGGTACTGAGTGCGAAACTCGTCGATCACCGAGTGGTGGACAGCGGTGACCGAGATGGAAGAGAGTTGGATGTGCTCCTCGTCGTGGTCAGGGC